TATAGAGCGCAAGGGTCTTGAAACTATATAAATAAATGATTATGCTGGGTATATGGTTACAAGTAATCAGGATGCTCTGCTTAAAATAGATATAAGTGATTGTCGTATAGTCTGTTTTGATGTCTCTGCATGCTGTAGAGGTAATATATCATATTTTGACCAGCTAGGGAAAATTCTAGACCATTCTGATGCACCAGGAGTAGTCATGTCATACCTTCTTAGCCGTGATTTATTAAATTGGAGTCCGGGAAAAATTCCTGCAACTAAAATGAAGATAGAAACAATGCGAGAGCAACTTCCTAATCCCATTCGATTTATAATTGATTATATTGCATCTTGGCCTGAAAATCATATTAGCAGGTTTAGCTGTGAATAAGTATACCAGGATTATTTTGAATGGTGCAGTTGTAATGGGGAAAAGCTATTAACTAGTAAGGTCGCTGGAAAGAAGTTTTCACAAATCGGCATTGATCGGGCACGTTCACGAGATAATGGAGTAAGAGTATATCAGTATATTCTTGACCACCCCAAAATCGTAGCTAAGCTCCGTGAATCTGGCCTAGGCGATATCGAAGAATTTTCTGATACACCTCAATCTGACTTACCTGAAAATAAGACTACAGACATGCCTATATTCAATGTGCCAGAATTTATTCCTCCAAAAATAATCTCGCCTCAGGCAGAAAAGAATCTCTCTCCTAGTGATAAGAAAGAAGATAAACAGAAAAATCTAACCCAAGCTCTATTCGACTATGTGGAAGAAGAAGCCAAAGCACCAGTTGCTTCAACATCTGGGACTTCCAAAACTTCTAAGACGTCTAACTTATCTGAGCCAAAAATCGTTGAGTGGTCTCAAAAGGACCAGACTAGCAAGCTTCTCGAACCTATTAAGCTTATAAGTGGAGTAGCGCCCCCTGATACGCCTTCTAAAGAAACTGATTCTTCCAAGCCTATCAATGAAATACTATCTATCATACTTATGAGCAGGGCCCAGCGTGAAGAGTGCCTTAGAAAAAGGGCAATCGAACTTGGTGAAGATTCTGATATATTTGTAACTATCACAGAAAAGGACAGGCTCGATTCTACTGCATTTTGTTATAAAATGGAAATAGATGCACGAATGTGTGGTTATGCAAAAGAGGCAGAAGAAGACCCTAAAGAATATATGGACATGTCAGTGCGAGAGAGATTGATAGGAGAAGAAATAATCCGTCATGATCTTGAGAATAAAGGAATCACATCCTCATGGCTTGATACTGATGAGGAATGGAAAAAAACAATAAGCATACTCCAAGAAAATGGTATACTTTGGTAAAAAGTGAATATGAAGCCGGTTTATAAGTGAGGTGTTTGGATCCCAAACTATTAATTATTTTTTTCGAATTAAAAAATAACTAGATTAATATATAACTAGATAACACTTACTATTGACATGGCTACTAAAACAGCTTCCTCAAAGACCTAAAAACCTAAAGTTAATAACTTTGTATTGGTCTTAGAGCAGTTCCTAGAAAAGCATAATCTGATGGCCGACTCTACCCCAGAACAATTAAACGAACATGCTCCCAAACTCGATATATTACTTCCTGATTGGATGGCTCGCAGGTGTGTTAAAGTCACTCTTGTCAGAGGTACTGATAACAGACGCTCATTTAGTGAAGAGCGGATAGAGGCTCTCTTACCAGATAAGAGAAAAGGAAAACTCACCATAGAGGAAAGGGCAAAATATTGCGCTAAAATCGGTGATGCTATGGACATTTTCACCCATCATTTAGATTTAGGCCCAAAAAATGATTATGAAAATGAAATAGTCGCCAGTGGTTCACGCCAGTTGCAATTTCGTGTGAAATTAGCAGAAGGCGGGATAAGTCCTGAAATTATTAATACCTATGCCAAAGATCCAAAACTTATTCAAGAGTCTAATAAAATTCAGAAAAAACAAACTAAAAAACGAATAGCTAATCCAGATAGAATTCCAATACACTTCTCATTAGCAAGAGTGCTTAAAAGGATTCAGAATATGGATGTTTCTAAAATTCCATCTAAAGAAGATCTCACAGATGTAATTGTGATATTGAGTATGAGACCTGCAGAAGTAAGGTCTCTTCGAATTAATCACTATGAACTGGATCCTTCAAACATTCCAGCATGGTACAAAGATGGCTATTCTTGGTATTGCACGGGTTATTTAAAAAGTAGAGGAGAGAAGAAAAAAAATCCTGAGCCCTGACCATTTCTTTCCATGGAGAAGAGCCCGGAACACGCCAGAGAATTACTCACCTGGATCCAAAATGCAATCAAGGCAAAAAAGTTGTGTGATCCTGTCTTTATAGAAAATGAAACGCATAATGCCTGGCTATTTAACAAATTCTTAAAACAAGAACCTTATAAAACCATACCTAAAAAATTAAGAGATTATGGAAGTAAACACGCTTCCAGAATCCATAGTGGTAAGAAACCAACACCCCAACATCTTAAACTGCTTTTGAGAATCGCAATGAGGCAAGAATCAGACCACCTTGATGCAGGTGATAATTACACTATAGACGATACAGAATCAGAAGAGTCTGACTCCGAACCAAAGACAAGCGACGGTTCAAAACCTCAAATACAGGCTTCTTTGTTATCTCAAACAATGGAAATGGATTCAATGTTAGCTGAAATTGATACAATATTAGCTGAAATTCAGAAATAAATACCAGAAGGAGGGTCGGGTAATGAGCACTTGTTTAGAGAATTTTCGCTGGGCCCTCATGAACGTGAGACTTAAATTGTCCACCGTTTTTCTAATGCTATTCCCCTTTTTTCTCACAAGCTCGAAAAAAGATATTTGGTTAACTGTTTCAGAAACTAAAAATCTGTTAACTAACTATATCTGGCTTCGAGCAAGAATTGCAAGAAGGCAGGGTCACAATTGAGAGATATATTTTTATATTAATATTTTTTTCTTATAAATTGGCAGTGTCGAAGTGAAATAAAAATCTATGAAGTGTATATTCCTTCTCTTCACTAATCATTTATGATTGCCAGTAGATCGATCAGTTCTTGGTTCATACTAAATAATTCATGAATGAATAGATTGCTAAATCCGAAATTAGAATCTAAAATTATTTTTTTTAGTCATAAAGAATATACTATAAATAAGCTAAGTATAAAGAATTTTATTGTAAAAACTTATCTGTACTTGCTTCGCTGATATCATCATGTTTCTTGCTAATCTTCAAAACCTTGCTCTTAATATTTTAAAAGAAACAAAACATAGTGCGGTACAAAATATTGACATTACGGAATTGCCACCATGTAAAATATGTAATAAAAAAATTTTAACGATTAACTTTGAATCACTTACAATACTTCCATGCGGTCATGCATATCATAGGAAATGTATTGAAAAAAATTTTTTACTTACGGAAGAGAACAAATGCTCTATTCCTGATTGCGACAAAATTGTTGATCCAGTAATATCTGAACGAAGGTTTTCTGAATCATCTCAGTCTAGTGGAACTTCGGCTATTGCAGATATGTTAGGCAATAATCTTGGGTTAAATTCACCAATGAATGTATCACCATTATTGGGAAGTGAAATACAAAAAAAGCGTGTTGGTGAATCTACTGACAAATCATCCAGTAAGAAAGCAAAGAAGCAAGTTTCAAAGGAAGATTTTTCTATATTAAAAAAACTTATTGAGAAATTGACATCAACGGTACCTGAAAATTCTGAGAAAGTAATAGAAGTCAACGAAAATACAAATAATTTTTTATACCATTATAACAAAATTTCGCAGGCTGAATCTAAAAATGAAATAGCAAATAGAGATGTAATTGAATGTTACTTTAACTTTGGTGTAGTTTTAAAAAAACGATTTGATCATTACAAAAATATGAATCATGGAGAACGTGCATGTTTAGCCTTGGTTAATGATGAAATCTGAAAACAACTTCCCGATAATATCACCAATGATGCATTGAAAAAAAGAAAGGAAAGATCAGGAAAAATATATGATTTATTTGTTAGTATTGGTAAAGAGAAAATAAGTGGTATTAGATCATTTACGGCATCAAACATTTCAAATCTGAGTCAAGAAAATATTGATTATATAATCGTTGAAGTTTTAAAAAAAGAAGGTAAAGTTTGATTGCTACTGCGCCATATTAATGCGCCAGTGACATGGATGTCACGTCTGAATTTAAAAAATCATATATGATATTGGGCTTTTCTAAAGTTAATTTTTATGTATTACTCGTTGAAGCAATAGACCCTATAAATGGTTAGTTACAAGATATTTATGTTAATGATTTTCCATTAAATTGCTTTAAAGAGTAATACCCCAAATCGGCATAATCAACATTAGAAAGGCCCATTAACTATCGGATTCCACTTTAATTAATAAAACACTTTATAAAAGTTTTGCCCATATCGGGCTGGTAATTTTTAACCAATATATTAATTACTTATTACTGCGCAAAGTGAACTGATCATTGAATAACCCACATCGGGCCTAGTGACATGTGTTAGAATTATTTCGCATATAAATTTATCATCTTACAAGGCTTATCGTTATGCATAACTTATTTGTGAGACAGGGCACAATGCCATTTTTCATTTTTCAACTGGGCCACCCCAGCTGAAAATAGAGTACCTAAAAGTCGGTCAACTTGAAACGTAAATAAATTAATTTTCGATACAGGCATAGGTATACATGTTGGCAAAATCTCGACTTACTATAGTTTGGGATTTGTCCGTCATCCCAAATCCCAAATCCCAAATTCAAAAAATGCTAATATCTCAAAAACTTTATTAATTTAAACAAATTGTATATATTCTTATAGTTATAAAGAATATATTTACAAAATATTAAGATTATTTATTTGATTTAATCTTTTATAAATAGCAATTGTTTTTTTACTATTTGGAATTTGTCCGGGTTTTGCCAGCAAGTATAGGCATAGGTAGTTGTCCACCGTTTCCTGGCGAAGTGAAATAAAAATCTATAAAGTGTATTGATTAAATCATTATTGTGAGATTAAATGAAAAAATAGTACTGTATCTAGTGATTGGACCCGTCAAAAAAAATGCTACCCGGGTCACCCGCGGGTGGACCTATGACCCACCCAGATAGAACCCGGGTGGGTTAAAAAAGCAACCCGTCGGGTAGACTCCCAAGCCACCCGGGTGGAAATAGATCTATGAAATATGATTAGTCAATTTTTTATCAATTAAATGCATAGCGATAGTAGATTTTTTGACTTTTCGCTTTGAACCTTT